GAGAGAGAGAGAGAGAGAGAGAGAGAGAGAGAGAGATGAGGCAATTCTTGTAAATGTTTGGTAAACACTAAAAACAATTTAAATTAAATTTAATATTTATGTGACAAACGAAGGAAAGCGTCCAAAGTTTTGAAGAGTCATTAATCATCACATAAATGCCAATGAAATGAATTGGGATTTAAGCAAACGAGTTAATACAAGTCAATGGGAATGTAGTCCATTGACAGGCATTTGATTTTGTGATTGGAGTCGTGACTAATAACTCGATCCAATTGTGTCAATAGATTAATACATGCGTTGGTATGAAATTTCACCTAAAATTCACACTAATTATTGCTAAATCACGCAATTATATTGGCCTTCAGTTATGGCAACCAAATGTTGATTCGGGTGTCACTCATATCTATAAATTAATTCACATTTCCCTTACAATACTTTCTGGTCGTAACTGACACTTCACTCATATTAAGACATTACACGACAAAAATGACCACAAAATATAAATGCATTGTTTTCGTGTATGAAATTAGGTTATCGTTTGTATGAATTCTTTACACTTTTGATTATATATAAAAGAGAAAGCATTAGAAAAATCACTCATTATTTATTAATGGGAGTTAAGTTTCAATCAAAGAATAAGCACTCAATTGCATACAAAATGAAAGCTTTCTTACGGGTAAGAAATTAAATTTTTTTCAAACTTAGCCTTGTCTAAAAATTGTTTTATAATAGATTTTATGCATAATTGCATTCATATGTGTGATGGGAAGTGAAGCTGGATATCACGGAGACTATGGAGTGCACTGGGAGTCTGACAATGGCTTAACAATTCCTTTCAATGTTTACGGAGCTTATGGAGGTTTTCGAGACTTTCAGTTTTATAAATCACCTTTATATTTGAATAGATTTATAGCTTAAACAACTAGCATTTCTTGATTCGATGATAAACATGTCATCATTTCCAAAACGTTTTAACAAATAAATAAACTTGGTGGAGATTTTTTCAATATTTATTTCAACGAATAACATGAAAAAGAAATTATAGTAAAAAGTTGTCTGTATGTCATATGCAGTGTATGATTATTATGGCAAACGGTTGCCGGTGTCTGATCCACGTCTGGATGCATCTGATTTCGAATAGAACGGGTAGTATCCGCCTCCATATCCATATCCAGATCCATATCCTGAATAAGGATATCTTCCATAATAGCCTGGTTTATACCATATTTAGTATTTATAGATTAATATAACATATGGGATTATCGGGATAACATATTTGGTAGTCAAAAACTTTGATATATTTATAAGTTCCTTGATTGCTTAAATATACAATATACAAGTATCTTAGGTCATGCAGTATTAAATATAAATGTATATAACGTTATTTTCTATATATAAAATTTAAATATAGTCTAAATATAAAAATGGTATTTTCTAACCTCCGTATCCATATCCCATACCATATCCCATACCATATCCCATACCTCCATAACCCATCATTGATAAACCATATCCATAATTCGGACTATACAATATAATCAATAGAGATTAGTTTACACTTTAGTATAAGATAAATAATTCTTTTAAATTGTAAATTTAAATTTAAAATTAATTTATTGCTGTAAATAAAACTAAATAAAATTATGAATAAATCATACCTGGTCATTGGATTATATCCCGACATACCATAGTAAGGTGTGAATCCATAAGTTTGAGCTGATATTATGGTAACAGTTAGTGATAGAAACTGGATAAAAGATATTTTGTAAATATTATTTAGATAGTAAACAATTGATAAAATTAGAGATCAATTCTGACCAAAATTAAAGTTTTCATTTTTCAAACCAAAATCAAAATGAAATTTTATTTGTCAATGAAATTCAAAGCAATTGAAAGTAACTTTTAAACTGAAGTCAAATCACACACTTTTTATATAATTTATTATTAATGAATGCTTTGTCATTCTGTAAACAATTCCTAATAAATATTAATTCTTTTTTATTAGTAAGTTATCATTAATAGCTAATCACAATATATTATGTTATAATAATTTAATAATACTAGAGCATTTATAATTTTATACATAGTATTTAGGATGTTCTTATTTTATATTCAAATAATTCATAAAATTATATAACAAAATAAGTCCATGATTTTATTTAGTAGATAAAATATTGTATAATTACAATATTTCTAATAATTAAATTTTTATAATTATTGTTTCGATAAAATTTATATTTAATATCTTATTTATTTAAAAATAAGTATATTTATAAATTGTAAAATACATTTATAATTTTTTAATTTAACAAATAAAATATAATTTGAGAAAGACTTTTAAAAACTTTAATAATATGGAAATCCAAAGTGGTATCCGTAATGATAATAAGGAAATATATGTTGAATATATGAACCATAAGCCCATTCCCGTCCCACTGGAAGTCCTCTCAGCAATAACCCCTCTCTAAAAGCTAACGGACCGCTTAAATCATAAATTGGTTCAAAAATGTCGCCATTTATTCTTCCGATGTCTGAACATATTATAAGGAAAATTGCAAATGCAGTTGATATCTGTCAAAAGATTATATTCATTAAAATTTGATATTTAGATGATATAAGATGAAAATTATTATAAATTATATTTAGAATTTAAATTCATATTCTTTACCTCAAGTAACTTCATTTCAGTAGCACTTATTGTGGCATTGCTTTCAAACAGAGAAACAACTTCTAAATAATTAAGATTTTTGATATGTTTCCTACTTATATCTATTTAACTTATTTAATCATAATTGTAATTTACCATATTATTGAATTTTTATTAGTAGTATTTTTATTTTTAACTCAATTACTGTATTAACTAATGTATATTTATGAAATACAATGAATGTGCAATTCTTTTACATTAGCTTTTATTTAATTAACTAATTATTTAATATTTAAATGGATTATTTATTTATAGTTATGTTGAATAACATAGAATATTGAGTATAACAAAAATAAAAGCTATTGTTTATTAATTTGTAAATAAACAAACTTATACTTTAACTTGAGATACTCAATAAATATTAAATTAGTGATATTTAAATATAATTAAGCTATTTCCTCAACTAATTTATGCGTGTCTATTGTAAAATGAATTTTTAATAAGTTGTTGTACATTATTATAATATTTGGCAACATATTTTGGGACAATTTTTTGTAGACATTCACTTCATTTAATAATATGAAATCTTTATTTAAAAGTTACATTTTCATTAATGATGTTACATTTAAAAATAACTACAAATGAAATAATAGTACAATTGAAAGTAAAATACTCTTATAATAAGTATATTCATTAAAAGTTGTTTTGTCAATGAATGAATGGAAAATATATTATGGCTTAAATTTGATATTTGGGTCATTTATTGCATTTATGTATTCAATTATAAAAATAATGTGTCGCATAATACGATTCACGATAACATTTGATATGATTTATGTTTTGTTATATATATGTTTTTGGTATAAATGTTATTTATATAATAGATATTATATGTACCGGCATTTGAGAATAATTTGATAACAATCTAATTTATTAATAATTAGTGTTTTTTGGGTAAAACAATCATGAATTATTCAAAACCATAAGTAAAACATATAAAAATTGTATCCAATAATGAACTACAAGTAAAAACAATAAATGATAATAAATAATTGATATCATTATTACATTTAGCTTATGATTTGTAAACAGAACTATAAGCTGAACCATAGCTCCCATAGGGAGTTAAACTATACGGTCTGTTATATCCATAAGGATTCATATTATTATATCCCGAATTAAATCCGTAAGGACTACTCCCATAACCCGATGATCCAAAGTATCCATAATTATTTTGTGGGTATACATAGGATGCAGACCCACCAAACCCAGTATTGCCTGATATTATTGATTACAGAATTAAATGATTAAAACCAAAAATATGATAAAAATAATTACCGAATGCATTTAAGGGCCTAGTCAATGATGACAAACCTCCATATCCGTTTCCATATCCATATCCGTATCCATAATTGCTGTAAGGATTATAGCCGCCACTTCCATAGGGATTATAGGGGTTATAACCGCCGCTTCCATAGGGATTACCACTCCCTTTGAAAAAACTTGAAGAAACACTCGATATATAAAGAATAGACACAAACAAAGGGATTGCCTTTAAATGAAGAAAATAATTTTAA